ATAGAGTATTATGTGTGAAAGGCATGACTCCTAGACAGCAGTCGACAGAGAATGACAAATACACAGCCAGTGAATATATAGTAGTGCAAGTATATAGTATATATTGAAGAAGGAATCTGAAACTGAGTGGGTACTTTGCTTTTTAGCTAAGGTGTCAAGACTGAGGTCTACTCATAGTTCACAGCTGCTCAACATCAAATGTATAAAGTTGTCGAGTTTGGTGTTGTTGATGTTAGTGAAATCAAACTTCTGGTGGACTTAAAAAAATTGTGAAACGTTTCACCCAGTGTTGTTTCACTGGGTGAACGGTTTCACCCACCTTCATAACAAGGTGTAAGATACACCTTAATCCTTTTTCTCTGGCTTATGTTGAAATATTCATAGACAGTAATTCACTTAAATACTTTAGTACCAAGTACTAAGGTTATAAATAGACTTCTGCAGCTCTTGTGCTAATTCTTCAGGTCTTGTGCTAAGTAAAGCTACACTGCATCGGCAATGTTGGAATACTTGTTCTATGTACAGTAAATTATACTGACTCCCTGTGAAATATAGAGGTTCTTCTTCTCACAGGTGATGCAGAATGGTAAAGATTTAATTTATGGATTGATTGTATAAGCTTACTGAAGAATACTGTATGATTCAAGCCCTCAGTTTGCCTTTGCAGATTAGGTGTTTCCCTCTAGGTTCCAGGCTTACATCATCTTACAAACCATTGCTTCTAAAACATCAGCAGGGTCACTGAAGTTTCTACCAAATTCGTCATAACAGGCACCCTTTTTTCAATGCCACTGTGGCTTCTTCTTATAGCCATGATAGCTATAGTCATAGGCACCAGGCCTGTCCAACATTTTTTTTTATTCCCAAACATGCTGGGTTGATATTTGCTTAAATAATATGAGGAAAACTTGTGTGGAAGCCCTTCCTTTCAAAATATTTGTTGTCCATCATTTATTCAGGTATTTCCATTTTTTTTTACCATTACAGGTACATATTAGAAGTTTGTAGACCCCAGATCATGTGCTTTGAGACTGGTGAAGTGATATAGTTTTTTTTTTCCATCTCCACTAATTGGCAGATACATAACTCATTACAGGAGGATCTTTATCCAAGGTCATGAATAGTCTGAGAGGATTAACTTCAGTTCATGACTATCTGAATTACTCTCACTGGGAACAGTCACTGAGACTTGATAAGGACTCTATTTTGCCATCTGAAATGTTGCACAGCTGAAACTGATTAAAAGTCAGCGAAGAGTGTACATTGTTCCAGTTCTCTTTGGCCAGTTTCTGTTGTAATTAATGCTTTGTATTTTAATTGACCCTATAGTAATTAACAGTTACACCTGACTGCAAGATGAATTAATATTTTCAATATTTTGTAAGGTACAGTACAAACATGCAAAGTCATATTTTAATCTGGAGTTGTAAATGGTATAAATGAAACTTGGTACATTTTTTTCAAAGAAGGATTTTTATACAGTATTAACATTAGGCTATACGTGTTGATTGAAAATAAAATAAAATCTACTGAACAAGTGTCTTATGAATGACATACTATATGTTAGTTTGCAGATAGTACAGATAAGCTAACTGGGCATTTTAACATCTGAAATTATTCATGAACCAACATTAAATTACATTTCTATTACTTATTCCTTTCTATATATTCTATATTTTTGTATCTGGATTTTGCAACATTTTTCTATTGAGCCAGTTCTATAAAGTAATTATTTTCATTAAAATGTGTTTAAAAAGTCTTGTTACTTCCCAGATTGGCTGCACCCAGTAGCAGTTGGCATGGTGATATCTTTACATTTTTTTAAAGATGGTGTTCAGACTTAAGCAATTGCAACTGGTGTAGATATAGTAAACATTTCTGTAAATGTAAATATCTTTTTTTTCTAGCAAGTAAAATCAAACCTTAAAACTCATATTAACTTCAAAGGGAGAGTGCTCTTTACAACAAGGAAAACAAAGATTGCTTCTGAAATCTTTTTCTGACTTAATATATAATAATAACTTTCAGCTTTATCTCTTGAGACAACTATATGTTTAGATGTAAACAATTTCATCGAATATAAGGATTTTAACTGGAAAGGATGCGTATTTTTCATTTATCATTCATTTATATCATTAATTTGTTGTTTGTCTTTGCATGCTAAAATTAAAATCCGAAAATTTTCAGTTTGTGTACATGAAGTGTGGCCTTCAAGTGTTCAGAATTGTTTAAAATGTTGAATTAAAGATAAACTTGGAGCTTTATAAAGTACAAGCTTGAACTCTTAATTGTTTTATTTATTAAAAGCTGTATATTGTCAGATTCATATGACAAATTAGAAGTCATTGTTAGTACATGAAGTTAAAATATATATATTTTTTAGAAAACCTATTTTACATGTTTGTACACTTGCTAATAAAAAGTAATTAAATAATTTGCATGCTTGATATGAGATCTATTTAAAATCATTCCTTCTTTTCTGCTGTTTGTAGAGGATATAGAATGGGAGTCAAAGATCATTATGTGGGAATGCTAATCAGATATACTTGGATACAACAAAGATAAAAATTAGATAAAGCATTTTAAGGGAGAGTTAGTTTTGCAATTTATTTAGGATCTTGAATCACTAGAATTAACTTCCAGACTGTTGTAACATGTCTGATTACAAAAAGTAAAAACAATTCATATGTACAGTACATACAGTACATGTTATATATAGAGGTGGAAATCAACACTACATCACGAGTTACTAAGTAGTATATATACAGTAGTGTGAAAAAGTGTTTGCCCCCTTCCTGATTTCTTATTTTTTTGCATGTTTGTCACACTGAAATGTTTCAGATCATCAAACAAATTGAAATATTAAACAAAGATAACACAAGTAAACACAAAGTGCAGTTTTTAAATGAAGGTTTTTATTATTAAGGGAAAAAAAAATCCAAACCTACATGGCCCTGTGTGAAAAAGTGATTGCCCCCCCTGTAAAAACATAAATCAACTGTGGTTTATCACATCTTTGGAAAGCTGAGTTCAATTTCTCTAGTCACAACCAGGCCTGATTACTGCCACACCTGTTCTCAATCCAGAAATCACTTACAGTAAATAGGACCTGCCTGACAAAGTGAAGTAGACCAAAAGATCCTCAAAAGCTAGACATCATGCTACAATCCAAACAAATTCAGGAACAAATGAGAAACAGAGAAATTGAGATTTATCAGTCTGGAAAAGGTTATAAAGCCATTTCTAAAGCTTTGGGACTCCAGCGAACCCCAGTGAGAGCCATTATCCACAAATGGCGAAAACAGTGGTGAACCTTCCCAGGAGTGGCCGGCCGACCAAAATTACCCCAAGAGCACAGTGACGACTCATCCAAGAGGTCACAAAAAAACCCACAACAACATCCAAAGAACTGCAGGCTTCACTTGCCTCAGTTAAGGTCAGTGTTCATGACTCCACCATAAGAAAGAGACTGGGCAAAAATGGCCTGCATGGCAGAGTTCCAAGACAAAACCACTGCTGAGCAAAAAGAACATAAAGGCTCATCTCAGTTTTGCCAGAAAACATCTTGATGATCCCCAAGACTTTTGGGAAAATACTCTGTGGACTGACGAGACAAAAGTTGAACTTTTTGGAAGGTGTGTGTCCCATTACATCTGGCGTAAAAGTAACACAGTATTTCAGAAAAGGAACATCATACCAACAGTAAAATATGGTGGTGGTAGTGTAATGGTCTGGGGCTGTTTTGCTGCTTCAGGACCTGGAAGACTTGCTGTGATAAGGAACCATGAATTCTGCTGTCTACCAAAAAATCCTGAAGGAAAATGTCCGGCCATCTGTTCGTGACCTCAAGCTGAAGCGCACTTGGGTTCTGCAGCAGGACAATGATCCAAAACACACCAGCAAGTCCACCTCTGAATGGCTTAAGAAAAACAAAATGAAGACTTTGGAGTGGCCTAGTCAAAGTCCTGACCTGAATCCGATTGAAATGTTGTGGCATGACCTTAAAAAAGCGGTTAAGGCTCGAAAACCCTCCAATGTGGCTGAATTACAACAATTCTGCAAAGATGAGTGGGCCAAAATTCCTCCACAGCGCTGTAAAAGACTCATTGCCAGTTATCGCAAACGCTTGATTGCAATTGTTGCTGCTAAGGGTGGCCCAACCAGTTATTAGGTTTAGGGTGCAATCACTTTTTCACACAGGGCCATGTAGGTTTGGATTTTTTTTCCCTTAATAATAAAAACCTTCATTTAAAAACTGCATTTTGTGTTTACTTGTGTTACCTTTGTCTAATATTTCAATTTTTTTGATGATCTGAAACATTTCAGTGTGACAAACATGCAAAAAAAATAAGAAATCAGGAAGGGGGCAAACATTTTTTCACACCACTGTATTGTACATAATATAAGAATAATATGTAGTAATATGAAGTATCTTCTTTACCATATCACTGGCTGGAGACTACATTATTTTAAATGGTTCTCACATTCTTAACAGGCCTTCACATTAAGGTAATGCTTATAAGTACTCACATGCTCAGAGAGACAAATTATGCAATTCAGTTTCACTGGGCTTGATGCAACTTGATGCCCTAGAATATATTGAATGCCAAAATTTATATCATTCAGTTTAAGGACATCTGTTTCAAGAGGTGATTTAACATGTTTTGCATTTTAAAAATAATACTTGGGTTTTTCTTTAGCTTGTTTTTCAATGCAAAACTGAAAATATATTGTGGGCAGACATTTTTTCATAAGGTGCAAAAAAAGTAAGAAATCACACAAGAAGTACAACAAGTTCTTACTTTGAGAAACTCCACATTTCTTTGGAATATATCTACTTAAAAGAAAAGTAATTTCACAAAGTGAAATGCACTTCCACAAGTTTTGCATAGTTTCTTGTCTGTTGAGCTTTAGAATACTCAAGTTGTGTAATGAATATTGTTTTAAAATCATGTGCTCTCACTTTTCAAAACACCTAATAGAAGTCTTCTTTTTTTCAGAAACATTTGAAACACTCATCCGGCATGCTGAGAACCACACAAATACATTGTTTCGCACAACATACAGAAACATGGCTGCGGATGCTGCTGGATCTGTTAAGGAACTCTTTACAGATGTAGGACTTTTTGTGTTGGGCTCTGAGGTCAGCGTTGAGGATTTTGTCAACAGATTTTTCGATAGCCTGTTCCCTTTGGTTTACAACCACCTTATAAACCCTGGCTTGACAGATATAACGATTAACTATGCTGAATGCATACGGATGACAAGAAGGGACCTGAATCCCTTTGGAAACTTTCCCAAGTTGGCAGTTGGACAAATAGGAAGATCTATGCTACCAGGACGTGTTTTCTTACAGGCCTTGAATTTGGGAATTGAAGTTATTAACACCACAGACCACTTGCAATACACAAAGGAGTGCAAAAGAGCACTACTCAAGATGCAGTACTGCCCCCATTGCCAAGGGCTGACACAAAGCAAACCTTGTATGGGATACTGTCTAAATGTGATCAGAGGATGCCTGGCCAACATGGCAGAGATTGACAGTCACTGGAGGGAGTATGTAAGGTCTTTGGAGGAAGTGTCAAATAGCATGCATGGAAGTTATGACGTTGAACAAGTACTGCTTAACTTGCATTCACTTGTGAATGATGCTATAATGCATGCTCAAATAAATGGACCAAAGCTGTCAGTTCAGGTAAGAACATAAGCTTTAAATACAAAACCACCCATTCATACAGTATATTAAAAACACAATGGTGTAGGATATCACTTTAATATTAATTATTTATGATAGAAATATCATAGTGGTATGATATTAATTAATGAGTATGATAGAAAATGATTATTTTCTTCAATTGCGTTATTATATATTTATATATTATACTGTGACTTCATTGGACATTATTGTAACATGTTGTATATTATATATTGAAAAGGATAAAGTGGCTTATTCATTTTTTTGGGTGAATAAACATCACATAGGTGCAGAACCTCCAAATTATTTGCTAACCCAAACACATCAAATATAAAAAATATAAAGGAATAATCTAGTTTAATGTTTGTAGCCATTTTAATTTATTTTTTATTTTTTTTTGGTGAGGTTAGACTAGATATATTGCATTTTCTGGCTTCTTAATAAAAATGCACGATAAAACAACCATTTAATAAAATACAATTCAAGGTTAATTCAATGCCAAAAAGCAGATCAGAAGAGTAAAAACCAACAACATTGTAGAGTCTCTGGAGCCTTCATTAACTGTGTAATCGGCAATGTATACGCCTGAAGAAGTCTTCAAAACCAAAACATGACATTACCTCCACCATGCCTCACAGACGAGGTGTTGTTCTTGAGAGCATCTGCAATTCCTCTCTCCACCCTATACCCTTTTCCATCGCTTTTGTAAAGTTGTATCATGCTCATCTGTCTATAAAACTTTATCATAACTCTCCTGGTTCACTTTTGTGCATCTGAGCAAATTCTAATCTGGTTTTTCTGTTCTCAGGGACGATGAGAGGTTTACATCTTGCAGTGTAATATTTGTGATTCTGCTCTCTCACTCTTCTGTGAATTGTGGATTTTGATACCTTCACCCTGCACATTGAAGGTTGTCAGTAAATTCACTGGCAGTTGTTTTAAGATTTTCCCCTAAAATGTTGCTTTTAGGGGAAAACCCTAAAACTTTGATTTTTCTGTCATCAACTGATGTCAGTCAGACACACATGCCACCATTATAAAAAAAAATATATACGACTATTATACAATAACTAGACAAAGTGATTCCTAATTGTTTTGCAAGCCTCTGTTCATTAATGCATTGAACACAAATATTCAGATTAGAGGAAAACTTGAAAATGCATATAGAGCAATGCAATGAAAGATAAGAAATACTAGAATGTTATTATTGACTGCAAAAGAAGCATGGACCAATCTCCATGCTTCTACTGGAAAAATCAAAAGATCACAAAAATGGCAAAAACATGAATGAGCTTGGAACAACTCTGGTACAATCTGAAATACCAGGGAATGACAGAAAATCAAGTTATTATTTAGAAGCTGTGAAAAAAAAGTATCTGGTGGAAGCTGAACTCATTTTAAATTACTTGGATATCTAGCACTTTTAAGCATTCTAAAATTCCAAAACACATTACATTCATAAATTATACACATGTACTGTAGGTACCTGCTGCTGAACTCGACGAGAAATGCTTTTTTAAATGAAAACATCTTAATTAGAATAGCATCCCAAAGTCCAAAGCAACTGTTAAACCAAGGTTTGGGATTTTCCTAGGGTTGTACTACAAATTTCAGAAGAGCAGTGTAAGACTTCACATTCACCACAGATCTCAATTACAACAAATCTGGTAACAGGTAGTTTTGAAACAAATTCTGATTGTTTTCCCAAGTTAGAATTAAAGTAGTTTCCCCCAGGGAATGCATGCAGTAAATGATCTCCAAGTTCTCCATAAAATCAACAGAATTGACCTGGGTCTTAAATAAGTCAGAAGAACTCAGGAAGAATGTGGATGCCCAATGTAGTACCATGCACACAAAGTCTTTAAAAGACAGTGCTTGTCAGATATCCCAATTGGGTATACAACAGTGTAAGATCTACTGAGAAGGTTGAGGAATAAATATTTTTCAGTGTAATTTTCAACAGTTGCAACAGAAAATTTGCTTAATATTTTCTGGAATAAAGTTGAAAGGTGCAGATCTCACAAGAATGTTAGACTAGTAAAATGGATTGAGGGATTGAGGGATTTGCTATACAAATGTTATTACCTATGTCTTAAAGAGAGTACTATATACAGTGCTATAAAAGGTCAGAAACTGACTGTTCTGGAGCACAATATCTCCATCTGCTGGACCACTTTGGCTAACACAGGACCTACTGCTGACTCAACTGAATTATTGTGTATTGGATTTTGTCAAGAGAGGTGGCTCCAGGAATAAACAAGCAGATTTAAACTGAAGTATATTTCATTTGAACTAAACAAGGAAATGTGCTTGCAAAAGCATGAAAGCAATTTTTTTGGTCAATATATCGATTTCTATTTTTTTAAATTACTGTATATAGGATGCACATATAACCCACTATCTTGTATGAAATTAGTCATTTCTAACCATGAATCGCAGGTGTGCTGTTGCCTGTTAATACATGATAACAGTTTTATAATTATTTTTTGCTAATATATAATACATTGTTGCGGTTACCTTCTTGTATTTTTCCATAATTTGCATAGTTTAGCCAGGAAGCTGAATTCCCTTCTGCATATACAGTATCTATATTTTCTGGTACATTCTGGTGTCTAGGAGGTACCTTAAAATGAAGAAAAAAAAATAACCGAAGATGAGAATGGATTGTGAAAACTCACAAGTATGCTATGCTATGTTCTGTGTCTCTTACTATACAGAAAATCACGAGAAAGAGACATAATAAATACCAGCACAGTATCTCCATTTATTTGGAGTCTCCATAAGATGCATTTGCAATATTCTGTAAATTTCAGATATTCAGCTGGATGTAAGAAAATTGACAGATTATATCAATTTATTTTTCTTGCTTGGTCTTTTTTAGAGAAGCTTAAAAGGGAATTTTAGTGAGATTAAGTGTAGATAGTATATGGATCATTTCAATACATGAAACATTTATAATGTGTGATACTTCTTTCTTATGTAGGTACACAAGATGTGCGGACATCCAAACAGAAAATCAGCACAGTCATCAGGCTCTCCACTTGAGAATGCCAAAGATTTGGTCTCTCTGAAGGTTCCTCCTAGAAATACAGAAGAATCTCTTGCCAGCAGACGAAAGTAAGATTGTTTTGTTTTAAGCAAATCATAATACAGCATATGGATACCTAGCATACATTTGAATGTGTATTGAAAAACAGTTTCTAAGATTTACTAAAACATTATTAAAGGCTTATTTTTACCTCATTTTCCATATTCAAGTAATTCTAACCTGTTGGACCACTTACACCGGATTTACGTACTATAATCAAATCCTATCAAAAACTTTAAAGATACATTTTTTTGTTCGAGTTTTTTTTTTATCCAAGATGGTGGGTAAAGTTCCTTTTACTTTTTGGGTATACAGTAGAGTAGAAAAAATAGAATATAAAATGAGCTTTTTGTTTATTTGTATATTTAATTTCAGAGAGTTCATTAATAGTCTGCGGCTGTACCAGACATTTTATGCTGGACTTGCAGATCATCTTTGTGTGAGTGAGCTGGCTTCATCTGATGGGCTCTCATGCTGGAATGGAGCAGATGTGGTAAAAAGGTAGGCATGCAACCATGTTTTGTTAAAGTAATTACTGGCTTGCCTATGAAAACCTGTATTTTTCTAATTATATACAGAAATTATCAAGGATTTTGGACAGATTTTATGTTTTGATTGTATTTACAAAAGCAATTAGAGCATATGTATCTCTCTCTATATATATTGTTCTTTAAATGTACTTTTGAGGAAGTGATATTTTAAATTGCTTACATTGTTATTTTATTCACATTTACTTTCTGGAAAAGTAAGCACTACTGGAAATGCATGCCATTCAGTAAGCAGTTTTTATCATTTTTTCACTGTGCTCTAGTTTGGATGGCAGTCAAAGATTCTTGTGTTTTACATTTCATCAAATACAGTACACATACGCTGATGGCACACTTCATGTTTTGAAAAACATCCTTTACTTTATCTGTGTGCACTTGCCAGGATGTCACTATATAGGTTTGTATTTTACATGACAGCCTGCCAGTTCCTGATTCAATACTGTAACCTTACATGGGATATACCATTTATATAGACGAGTTTCCATTACTTTATTGCTTCTTTTGCCCCATTTCACTTATTCTGTTATCTTCTAAGACCTTGCATAAATTGTCTTGCATTCCTACTGCGCTGTTATTTTATTTCTTTGCTGTCATTATTTAAAACAGTAATAAATAATACAGAGGAGTGTGTTTAAACTGTGTCTGCTTCTTGTAAAATCTCAGAGAAGTGAGTTAATTTCTGGGAGTTAATCTTTTTCTGGGTTCTGAGCTGACTCAGTGACAATAATTGAAGTGGTATATCAGCCAAGCCCACCTAGTAAACGTTTGAAACTAACATTTAAAGAACTTTTACATTTTATACTCTTACTCAGCCAGAAGGGAAGAAGGATTAAGAGATAAATCGGCATCAGTAGAAGCATAATAATGACTTCTGATGCAAAAAGCAGAGAAAAAAGTACAATGACTTTGTGTTCAGTTCCTGAGCTGGGGGTGTTATCTGCGTGGAGCTTGTATATTTTTCCCATATTTGCTTCGGCTTCCCCTGGGTATTCAGATTTCCTTCCACAGTCTAAAGACATACTGGTAGGTTAATTGGCTTCTGTTGTGAGTGTGAATATACTGTAAATGTCAAGGGCAAAAGCTGATGTCTGGCAAATCTAGTTTCTACTAGACAAATCTAGTTTAGTCAAGGTCTTCTGGTCATAATGCAAAGTTGCTACTATTTCTGAAGTTGCTGATAGGGTGAGAGTTCCTGTACCATTGCTCCTTTGGACTCCAGTGAGTGCAGATAAAAATGGTAACATTATGATTCTTCCAAACAATTTTTGGAAATATTACACGTCTGAATAATTTAGATTGGTCAGACAACTGGAATTTTCCAATAACATAAACACTCTTTAGAATGTAAAAGTTGTAAATTACTTTTTTTATGGATTATACATTGCACAATGTTGCACAAATATCTACCCCCCTTTATCTAAATCATGCTTCTTTTATAAAAGGAAAGATTGGAAAGGTAAATGATAAAATGTGAATAACTGATGTTAAAACACCATTCATTCAAGTCTTTGTTACTATCATGAGAAAAGTGTTTAAGTAAAATTATGAACCAACATTACCAGTCTTGCTTTGTATTGACAAGAACGTAATTATCTGGAGATCTTAGGCACTACATTTACTGTACATTCTGCAGGGAAAAGAACTAGTGATGAATTGCTAAATTGTGTTGTTGCTGGACTTCAGGGAAAATAAACAGCTTTCCTAGATAATAAAGCCTACTTTACAATGGACTTGTTGACCTGAAGTGCACAGATGTTTAGCTTGTATTGTCTTTCTGTTTTTTTCTGGAAAGTAGTTGTTGAATTTGCAGTATTCCCCTGACTTCATTAAACTGCATTCCATTTTTCATACAGTACATGCTTCACTGAAAATATAGAACGAATGATTAAACCTTAACTTCATGTCGACTGCATATATCAAAAATTGTAAAAAGGTCATACATTATATTGTATATGCCTTGCACTGGAATGTATTAAACTGTGACTGTTAAAGATAATCCCGTCTGTACTCTCTTGCATTTGTCACAGTTTTGAGAATGTTCTATAGTATGGATGTAACATAATCAAAGATTATGTGTTGGAGATGGAGTTCCATATAATTATTTACTCCTGTGTATGTTATTTTGCACTTTGCACATGTTCCTGTTTCCTCTGCTTACTTTGAGAGACTTGTTCTTCAAGAATTTTTCCCATCCCTGCAGATCTGGAAGGCTGCTCACCAGTGATAAAAGGGTATGCATTCCTTCAGCAACCAAGACATGGGAGCAAAAGCAAATATGCACAGGCACAATAAACACGATCTAAACAATGTAATTGCGAAATAAGAAAAAACAATAGAGTTTTTGGAGGGTCTACAGGGTCTACAATCTTTCATTTAATCCATGGTTAAATGTCACATTATTCTTGACTAATCCTAGCAATTAACTAATTCAATTAAGCATTAGATCACTTTGACGAAATACAAAATGTATCTCGGTTTAGAGTTTGAGACTTTCAGACTGAACAGTGATTCAAATGTTTTGGTTGATTCAAATCAAGATCAGTGTAGTAAATTACACTGTCACTTTAACCAGATCAACTTTAATACCCCTTAAAGGATTTGTACTGTATGTGTGGTTATGTGATCGTCACGGTTCTGCGAGGTGTCATGCCCTCCGCCACCTGTTCTGTCCCGCATTACTGGGGCGCGAACCTGGGTCTCTGGCGTAACGCAATAGGGAACCAACCGCGTGTGCTAAAGGAGACCTCCCCCAGCCCAGGCAGCTGAGGTCCCTGCTACGTGCAGTGAGGGCGCTGACGTCACCGCACTAGCTCCGCTACAGTTACTTACACATCATTGAACAAAAAAGAAAATGAAGTATGATATACACAAAACAACAACTTTCAATTTTATGAGCCTTGTTTGTATTGTTTTGGCAACTAGCAGCATACTATATATACTTGTTTGGGTCATACAGTGCTGCACTACATGATAATGGGCAGTGTAGAATATTCAGTCTCTGGACTCATAACTGGTGGGTTGTGGGTCCTCATTGCAGACACTCTTTGTTGTTCTTTGTTCATGTGTTCTCTGCTTGCTTCATGTTCAGAAACCAGTATAAGCTCTGCCCCAATGAACCATACCTAGCACTTGTTAATCATCTACCATTTGTAAATTTACTACTTAATTATATAAATATTAACAGTGGCACAGAATCTGTCTGATCTTCTTCATGAGAAGAACCATGCTGCTACCATTTTATGGCCAGTTTCAACTGGAATCAAATTTAACCACTGGGTTTGGTTTGATTCTGATTAGTAGAGACATTGTAATTCGATCCAATTATACTTATTGTACATATCATTTTTAAGTAATGCAGAGGTGCACAAACATAATCTACTGATTTTAAAGGTCTCATTATTCCAGTGCTTGGCAAAGATCAGGCAAAGGTGATGATAATGACCTTTTCTTGTAAATAATTAGATAAATTAAGAACTCAGCCAATTGAAACACTGTGACCCTCTGATGTCTGTATTGTGTGCACATATATGCATACATATATGCATACATAACTTATATGGTTGATAAGGGTACAGTATTTTCCCTAGGACAGGGTACAGTGTCAGAGCATGACATGGACAATGTGCTTGACAAAGGCTGGAGCTATTGCATCCTCTCAATGAGCAGAAGGAATCATTTTAAAAATACTTCTGAAATAATGAATAAAATAAATAAATAAAAATAAAATGAATAAACTTCATTTTTTATTAAATTTAATTTTGTGTTTACAATGTGCAGGTAAATGCTTGAAATGATTAGCACAATTCTGGTTTACTTACATACTCTACTGTATGAAACTAGTTGCTTAAGCTAATGAACTAATTTAACTAATACATAAGCCATGTTTTCTAATTCATAGTAATTTATACTCGGTCCTGGACATACCTGTTTTGTTAAATATAAAAAAAATCTAAATCATTTACAAACACATCAATAGCTGAGGCAAGCATTCAACTAAAATGTGATTGGTTCACTGGAGGGATTTTGTTATTACAAAGAAGTCCTTTCAAAATGATTTTGTTGTTTATATTGACTTTTGTGCTATGTGCTTAATTTTGAATCTTGCTAATAACTGTGTTGATAACAAATTTGAAACTGTGACATCTAAGAATTAGCTAAGAGAGGTACTGGGGGAGAACACAATTCCTTGTATCCATAGAGACAGCTTAACAAGTGAATACCTTTCCTGCATTTCAATGGTAACTATTTCTAAACAGCCTCTTCAAGACTGCATTGTGTAATATAGGCCCTCTATGTACTTGTGTATGCATTTATCATATTTTCATATTCTTTAATACTATCTTTTTAGAATATTTTTTAAATGTAAGTATTAAAGTGATGGCATTCAAATGAGTCCTCTTTTGAGTAGGGAAGCTGCTCAGCTGGGGTGAGTGTGTTAATTGCCTGATAAATCATTTTTCGGTAAATATTTTATCTTGTCTATACATATTTATTTTGTGTAATTATAGGAATATTCTTATAAAAGGTATATGTTTGTACTACACAACTTACGGGAAGTTCTAATGTAAGCTTTCAGAAAGACCGATAGCATGCAATTTAAGCTAGGGTATACCTGTATCTGGGTGACATGCAATGTAATCAATCAGACCTACTTCCCTGGTACTTGTAATTTTAAATTTGATTTTGGCTTGAACTGGGTTTAAATTTGTATATTCATGTATTCAGCCAGCAAACATCTTCTTAACTGGGTAAACCTTATTTATATTTAAAGTTATTGTTGAAAATATTTGTCCTCTATAAAAAACATCAGAAACGAAATATATTTTTATACATTTTAATTGAAGCATAATATACATTTTTCTGGCATTATTCCTGTGGGACAGATAAACCCGAATTATGCACTATCCTTTGAGTATCATTGATTAGTTGAAAAAGTCTTGATCCATTACTGGG